CAACCGGTACAGAACTAACCCATCATGACCTCTGCGTTGGACTTATCTGCACAATCACCACCACAGCAGCGACACGTACACAGCGACCTCGGCCATACCAGCAAATGCTTAACAGAGATGATCCTCACCTTCCGGACAAAACAGCCAACAATAGTATGCCTTAAGAAACTTCTCAGGCCAACATCTCTCTCCAGCGTACTATCCACAATAGACTCTTAACACATGGACCTTTGATTGAATTTCCTTACAGAGTGGTCTGAGATTATCAGAAGCGCCGGGTTGTATACCCCTAAGCATTTACCATATGTGCTAGCATTTCTCTTGCAGATCTGCCCCTAACATGTTAAGGTTAACAAGATGCTACTATACGTTTATTGTGGTAAACTGTGCCCTATCGGCGGTAATTACATTTTAGAGGGTAACTGTGATACAGAGATTCCGATAACTGCACTCCTCTCCCTCTTATATACTATGTAGATAGGGATAGTGTGACTACAGGGGAAGACGTAGACTATATATTCGAGCTTCATTAAACCTGACGGGAGAACCGATCTGGTGTTCCTAATACCCACTAACTCTCACCACCATGATTCACTTGATATTATAGTAGACTAGCATTGGTTCTATCTGGCCCGCCTCTCCTTCACATAGACAGCACATTGATAGTCCAACCTTCCTTACCAGATTCCAACTACGGTAACCACTCGTGTCACATTGTGGGGATCCCTCCTCCTCTCTCTTCAAAACGGGAGTGCCGTAGTATGACTACCTCTAGTTTATCTCAAATTAAGGTTAGTGGACAACAAGTTAAATACAGTAATCTTGTTCACAGCCTATCAAACAAACTCAAAAAAAAAATATATATATATATATCTATATCTCTAAAAAAATAATAATAAGAAACACATATAGTCTTCCCACAACCAACAGAACTGCACTTCAACAGCACTACCCTACAATTGTTTCTACCACTGCTATCAAACACCATTTAATACTCCAACTAGGGACATATGTTGCCACACTTAGTAACCTTAAACGAAAGTAAACTCTTAGAAACGAATTTCTCAATATAGGACAAACTAAAAGATAGGATTGTAACTTTGGGTCCTAGGCAAGTCCGCGACCCCATTTATCCTTTGGTTCTCTCTCCTGCGTCGAGACAGAATCATATCCCCCATCGGGGAAGATCTCCTCCTACCTCTGCTCCCACCCATCTAATCCTCTTACCCATTCCCTTGTCCCTCCCTCCTTTCCTTTCCCCTCCTTTCCCTTATCTTTTTCCCTACCCATAACCAGGAATCTGGTTTTACCTTGACCATAACCAGCGAGACACCCAGATACACCATAATCCAACCAGTTGAGTTGTAATTTCCTGAAGCTGAGAGACAAATCTCAGCCCGGGAAGAAGAAAAGAGAAAAAAAAAAGAGAAAGGACTTTTCTGTGATACATTGACTTTCACAAAGTGCAATTATTCTACTGTTTTATTGCTTATTTGTATTTTGAATTTCTAAGTTGCATGTTGAATATTTTCAAAAGTGGTAATTCGAGTATTGTAGGACCAAGATCTCAAAAATTAGGGATCAAGCCATTTGTTTATACGCCTGGGATAAACATAGTCTTAGGACTGTCAGAAACAATCTTAACGTAGAGAATTCTCATACTTACACGATTAAAGGGACCATAGCTTTTGATGAGTGATAATTCTAATTAGCCTTCACAATCATAAGTTGCAGTGACACACAGATTTCCTCCTTTTATATACCGACACTAACCCCAAAATACAATAATAGTGCCACAAACACAGGCTTCCCGAACCTCTTTGCAATCACACTGGTGACCCCAACTATACATCACTAAACTGCTCCAGCTTTCACGGCCCCTAACATGACTGACATAATCATTCATACACAAAACGCGAAGGGCTTAAATACTCCTGAAAAAAGATCGATAGCCCTCGCAGACTTCAAGAGACATAAAGCTCATATCGTGTTTATACAGGAAACTCACTTTCATAAAAGCTCCCCCCCCAACCTCCGAAATAAAGATTATCCGCACGGATACTTCAGTCACTACACTGAAGCTAAAGCTAGAGGCGTAGCAATTCTTATCGGACAACACACTCAATTCACATTCCAAGAACAACAAATAGACGACTCAGGTAGATTCATCTTCCTTAAGGGAAAAATCGGGAACACCCAGATCACCTTAGCAAATGTCTATCTACCAAACAAGAAACAGAACCACTCCCTTAAAAAGATTTTACAAAAACTCTCCTCCTTCCAAGAGGGGATTCTCATTATGGGGGCGATCTTAACACTGCACTTGACTGACTTCTAGACACCACCTCCTCTTCTCAAAACTACCAATCACAAACACGGACACTCATCAAAAACACACTATATGAAGCCAGGCTCTATGACAGTTGGAGGGCCATTCACCCCACAAAAAAAAGATTATTCCTTTTATTCCACATCCTCTGGTACTTACTCACGCATAGACATGTTTCTCATAGATTTCTATCCCTGATACACTCAGTAAACTATGGTCCGATAACTTGGTCGGACCATGCACCATTGACATTGACTCTCTCTATTCCGACTCTACCCACTCAATTTACTCAGTGGAAATTAAACGATTTGATACTCAGTGACAGGGGAACCTTGGCCAAGGGAGACAGTGTCTAACTATTTCAAAGAAAATTCCAACCTAGACACAACTCATATCATGACATGGGAAGCTCACAAGGCGGTGATTAGGGGAGAACTAATTAAATCAGCCGCAGTCTTGAAAAAGAGTAGGGAACAGAAAATAGCTCAACTCACCAAAGAAATAAAAAATATGGAGAGTAAACACCAAACCAAGCCATCCTTAGAAGAATACAAACTCATCTTTCATAAGAGAACAGAGCTGACGTCCATTTTACACTTACACGCCAAACGCAAACTATCCTTGACAAAAAATACATACTATACGCAAGGGGGCAAAGCTGGTAGACTCCTGGCGAAGTCTATACAACAAGAAAGACAATCGTCTTTCATTTCTGAAATCAAGAAAGAAGATGGAACTCTAACGTGCCACATGCCAGACATACTTGAGGCTTTCCATAAATTTTACTCACAGTTATATAATCTGACGAACACTAAACCTTCAGCCGAAGATATACTTGAGTTTCTAGAGCCAAGGGTTAAACACACTATTCCCCCTAACGAATCAGTATTTCTCGATAGCCCAATAACACTCGAAGAATTCCATAACACAGTCAAATCACTGCCCTTGGGGAAAAGCCCTGGTCCTGATTAGTGATGTACCGAACGGTTCGCTGGCGAACGGTTCCTGGCGAACATAGCATGTTCGCGTTCGCCACGGCGGGCGAACATATGCGCGGTTCGACCCGCCCCCTATTCGTCATCATTGAGTAAACTTTGACCCTGTACCTCACAGTCAGCAGACACATTCCAGCCAATTAGCAGCACAGCCTCTCTAGCAGACCCTCCCACCTACTGGACAGCATCCATTTTAGATTCATTCTCAAGCTGCATGCTTAGTAAGAGGAGGGAAAGTGTAGCTGCTATTCATAAGATAGGGAAAAGCATAGCTAGGTTAGGGATAAGGGTATGCTTTTTTTGGATTTTTTTTTTCTATCTAATGTAAATGCACTTAGTTGTC